TGACAAAAGGAGGAAGAATTTTACGTTAAAATCCATTTAGAGGAAACACCAGCACCAGGTCAGCCACTACACCGCTACGGAGGGTTGAATCTATCCAAGGAGTTTGGGTTAGGATTAGTAATTGAGAGGATCACAACTGAAGCACAGGGGATTTTGATATGTTAGTTGTTAAAATGATGCTAGTTTAGTGTGTGATCATGAAGTCATCATCATGGGTAAGGTTACATTGCTCCGATTTATCCCAGAAAGAAATTAGCAACATGCCTTTATCCAGACCTGTAAATGAAATGACTGTAGGTTGCCATATTAAAGAAAGCAGGTTAAAAATGAGCCACCTTCATGGCAATAATAACTCAGGCTTGAAACTCACAAAGCAACTTTGCTTACTAATGTGGCTTTGTATAGGGTTAAATTGCAAACAGGGGGCCCTGTTTGCAATTTAACCCATGCATGTAATATCAAGTAACTTGATTTCTGTATGTCTTGTTAGTGCGTTTGAGTGGGCGAAGCTCGGTACTTCAGGTCCAGAAAGAGGGCATATGGAGAACAGTGTGCTCCGAGGACTGGAACAACTTGCTTGGTGTCTCTGCATGCCAACAACTTGGATACTCACGGTCAATTCCATTTTTGCCTTGACCTAGATTCATCTGTTTACCACACTTAATCACTGCTGACTAATTAAATAGTTGTCTTGTCCCAAAAGTGTTGTTGTTGCTGTTGTCAGTCATCAAAAAAATTAAGGTATGTTAATATGCAGATGGCCTCAATTAACATATTTTATCATGGCAGGTATGTGGAGTCGTTCTTCATTTCTCTCACTACTATTGAGCAGGAACTACAACAAAACTTAGTGTCCTTCAGCTCAAACCACTCCCTTATTACCAAACTCCAAAACACCACAGTGTTCAGGTAAGCAAAACTCCATCATTTCAAGATATGAATATTCAGTTTCAAAAAATGCATTTTCCTGTCATTTAAAATATTAACTAACAAAAAAGACAAAAGTCAATAGATATAAAACTGCCTTTTTGTTTTGGGGGAATTT